TACATAGCAGAGCTACACAGATCCTAATAATGTTTTGACTCAAGATAATAGCCACATGTACACAAGTTTCTGAAATAGATCTTTTAGACATTTTAATACTGATTAGGTGTAAATAAACTGCAGTAGTAGTACTATAAGGAAGTGAATTTTGTACCAAATTTCAAGAAAGGTGGGAGGCAGAAGTCCCAATGAAAAGTTAGAACCATCTTGAAAACCATAGTTGAAATCGTGAATGAATAAGGAATGGCGCTCCGCATATGACATATTTTTGTAGATAAAGGGTACCTGCCTATGCTGAATTACCTCTGAAAAGACTCTGCAGAGCACGACATGGCCAAAAAAAAAACGAGACCAAATGACCTTTGACCCTGACTGACAGTGTGACAAAAGCACTGTCAATGACTGACTCTGGGGTGTACCTGACCGAACCTGACTTGACAACCAGACGGTATGAGTGTGAATGAATGCCGGCATGTGATCAGTGTAACTGCATGATTCTAAAACAATAACTAACCAAGCATGTTTTTGGACTAACATATTATTTTGGAGCTCCAAGAGAAACGAGAGGTTTCCTATAATTCCACAAAAATGGGAAACCGCACATGGGACCCGTTTCTAATCTACTTGATATTTTACTCCCACAGGAGTTGGCGTTTTGCAAATGAAAAACTCAAACTATAATCTGAAGATTCTGTTTCTTTTAGGACTGAAAGATGAAGAGAAACACTTATTTTCACTGAGGTGTTTACTGTGGAAAGATAATAATAATGGATGTAAAATTGTAAATAATGTTCGCTATGTCCCTAACCAAAATGTAACTGAAAGTTTTCTTTCCTCCCCATTTCAGGATTTTATTACACATGAGTTCATGTGTAAAAAGGGGGGAGTGTGTATAATGTATAATGTCACATGGCTGTCAAATTCACAATTTAAATTTTTCTTTTAGGGATTGAAAGAAACCTTCCGCCCCAACCTAGATGTTCAAACTGAGCATTGAATGATAGTTTTAGAATTAACCTGCTCCATATCTGGGGATAAGATACTGTTTGATGAATGTTGACATGTTTCTAAATATTGATTGCATTTTGAACAGGTAACACAGACACAGATGCAGAAGCAGTGGCCAAGGGGCTACTGTGAGAGATGTAATTCCAGAATGGAATACCAAAGAAGTTGACCTGTGATAATGAAACAATTTTGTAATATTTTAACAGACATTAGAGTAACTGAGGTTTGAAATATAGAAAGAACATATTACAGTTAAGCTAAAACATAGTAATGTAATGACACAGAATCTAATTTAGACAACATCTTGTAACTAGCCTGGTAAAGAAATAGAAGTAAAAGCCATAGACTTTATTGTTTAGGTCATTATGGGGATATACATTTAAATTTATAATAGAAAGACATTTGATGACAGTATGTTGGAATTCTGTATTCATTTTTCAGCTTGATAATAGACGGGTAGAAGCAGTATTGCCAGGTGCAACTGATGGGATTTCTGCACACGAGCCAAGCAGAGAATGTCATACCTTACAGGACAGATACACCCAGGAAATCATTCACTGACAGTACCATGACTTTAGTTGTTTTGAATCCATAATGAAATTATATTACATAAAGTTAGTGTGTGTGCCTTTACCACAAACAGGAATAGTTCATTGTTATATTTAGATTTGAAAAAGATTACAAGGATTTTATTTAGGAACAACACAGATGCTCATCAGACATTTCCGAGCTATTGAAATATGTTATTTAGTTCACCATGAAGATGTTTTATTTTGTTTGTAACATATGCCGAGTATTAAGATTTAGATATCAGCAGGTTCTGAATTATTATTCCTCTGTCCCACAACCAACAAGAATGTGGATGGGGAGAACTATATCTGATATAACCAGCAGAGATTCCTAAATCACACCAGAGACACAGTAAAAGGATGACACAAACAGTCAGATAAAAACAGACCGATAGAATAGCGCTAGACATTAGTTGAAAAAGGGAGTGTATGCAACACTGAAGAGGATAGGATTGTTTAAATAAAGAGTAATATTTTCAGATAGTTTTATCCTTCTTATATTTTGTGAAAGAACAAGTGCCTTTACACCAGATACAGTATGAAGATGATATATGATGTGAAAGGAGGGAGTTCGACATTTTCCATACCAAGCTAATTGCTGCTATTTTACGAAGTGACATTAAAGGTTTAAGCTAGAAGTTATGCACAAATGAAAAACTTCGCATTTATGATGAATATGTATTGTTCCTATTTGTATTTTCTACCCTTTATGAGTTATGTACTATGCAAAGTTCAGATGAAGAACTCATTGATTTCAGTATTATGTTCATACCTTAAAGGGTATGAAAGGAGGGATTGCTAGAAATTAAAATCAATGTTGATGTGGCGTAATTTGAATGAAATACACTGTATTTAATTTAAATCGGTTTTATTCTGAAAACCGAAGATTCACAAGTGACTTCCGGTTTTCCGCTGGTGAATTTTGTAATTTCCGGTTAGCATTAGCATGTGGCGAAATGCTACGTTTTCAAACCGTGAATTGAAGGTGAAATAACGTGATGTTGTACACTAAACACCCTGGGTTTAACACTCATTTATTGACGCAGGAATGAGGTTTATTAGGGAATGTTTAGATGACCACAGACATCTGAGTGATGTAATTCAGCAGCAGAAACCGACAGGATTTGCATTGGACACGCCCCCGTCGACGCCGGCCAATAGGAGAAGACTACAGTTGTTACCCGGGAGACACAAGAAGGATCTGTCTCTCTCCTTGCCCCCAGCTGACCCAGCGCGGACGGGACCAAACAGCTGGCAGGGGGGAACCACCAACGCGGACATTTCATTTGTATACCACCGCATCTTTTGTGTAATTAAATGCTGTTAACTTTTATAAGCTTGCCTTGACTCTTTTCAGTCTCTCCTGCTCTCGGGGTTCAAGAACCACTAACACCGTCCCCTTGTGTGTTATGAAGGTTTTTATGCATATAAACGGTCTGCAGAGTCAAACACCCTCAAAGTACACCCTGTGGCGAGTAAAACTCTAACACAGTCTATGCTGCACCAAAACGCCTCGTTGGAGATTTCTCATTTTCCAATGTTTACTTCCTGGGTACTGTGACGTGTGAATACCCAGAGGCCACACCCTCTGCTAGCATTTCACGAAACAAAGCTTCACAAACCTTTCAGCGATTCATGCCGGATATGTACAGCAGCGACGTGCAGTCAGGGGAGGCAGAGCCTCACCTGTCATCCTCCAATGTAACGGAAAAACAACAAAAGAAAAACTAAATAGTAATAATAATAAAATGTCTCGACTGATCTGTGTTGTAAGTGTGATTTATGTATGATTCCAATCGCTTTTTATAGTCAAAATCAGCAAATGTGCCGAGCTCCGCTACGGGAGCGATGAGAAGTGAGGCAGGGACGAGCTCTGCCTCTCGTAAGCCCACAGTAACTTGCTGGAGCACGGGCACTAATTTAGCGCGGGCACTTATTTTGTGAGCGCGCTCAAGCCATTTACTGTGGGGTAAGGTGAGGCACAGATGAGATCTGCCTCACCTCAGAATGCGTCACCCCACAGAAACTGTCTGGAAAGCGGGCCCTAAGCGCATGCCTGTTACCATCTCACTGTAGGTCACCAATGTAATGTTTGTAGATCCCTTTATTACATTTATCCTCGCCATCCATAGTCTCTAAATAACTTATTTCACGTATATATGATATTTAGGCTCGCTGGTCTCATCATACAACGGCAATGAAAAAAGCACCAGGAGAGGCAGCCATAACCTCTGCCCCACTGAAGGGGGCGCACGTGAGCCCACAGGTTCTTGTTGCTACTGTAATTCTACGCAGAGACGGTAGACGCAAACAACAAACTATACTTTTCAAACTACAGGAAGATAAGGAGGACTTTTACAAAAAAGTAATAGAGATTGTTGTCAAGAAGGATAGCATGGACTTCATCTTCAAGTCAAGGTAAGACCATGCACATTTGTAATGAAAATGGGATCTTACTAAGAAAGAACAATCCAATATTTAGATTTTGGGTATCCTTTTGTTGAACGGTCTGTTTAAAATGAATCAAAGCATCAGACTAAAAAAGCTTTTGAAAATAACCGAATATTTCGATTAAAGGTGGGGTAGGTAAGTTTGAGAAACCGACTCGAGATCGCTAGAATTTGAAAATACACAACCGGAGAAAATCTGCCACTTCCTTACCCAGATAGCAAAAAAGTTTTGGCCCAGATCCGGCCCACACAAAACACCTTCATCCGGCCCATATACCGCATGGAATGATGGCACTTGGGCGCTCCGCTCCTGTTTGCCAGATCTGGGCCACAAGCAAGCCATAGCAATGCCACATGTCAACCAAAAACGAACCACATAAACCAGAACTGGCCCTTATCTGGGCCACAGTTGGTTTTCATTCTGGCCCAGATCCGGCCCACATTCCATATCCTTATCTGGCCCAAATACTGCATGGAGTGATGGCACTGGGGCGTTCCACTCGTTGGCCAGAACTGGCCCTAATCTGGGCCACAGTTAGTTTTTATTCCGGCCCACATTCCGTATCCTCATCCGGCCCAAATGCGGCATGGAATTATGGCACTTTGACGGTCGGGTGATGTTTACCAGATCTGTGCCACAAGCAGGTCAAAGCATGGCCACATGTCTGCCAAGAATGAACTAAATAAACCAGACCTGGCCCTAAAAAGCCATTAAAACTTTGGTGACTCAGTAACTGAATATCAATAGCAATATTCAACATACAGTAAATACAAATTTCAAAATGGCCTCCCAAAAGTTGCATCAATAAATGTTCAAATGAGTTACAACAGATGAACCAAACGTTTTTTTAATGATTGTATCATAATTTATTAATAGTGGTGATGAACTAGCCACTGCATCATTACATTTTCAAAATAACTGGGATACAATCCAACCATGCCAAAATAACAGAATAATAAACAAAAACAAAATATGTATAGTATAGTAAAGCAACTTTGAAAAAACATGCAATTAAAAAATAAAGCTTAGCTCCCCAAAAATAAACAAACTCTTCTGCAGACTCAGTGACATTTCAGATTTATTTTATTGATTTTCTCGTGAAAACATAACTAGAACAGAATACTTGTACTATACTTATACTAAATGAACGAACTTTTGCCGACCTTGGCACGAGAACAACCTTTCCGGGATTTATTGACCTCCTTGACTGGGCCCATGGGAATCTTGAAGGCCTATAAGGAATGCACAAACATTCATTATATATTACAAATTATTATACATATATTGCAAAATAGATATTGTAACTGACTTACGGGTTTCTTGGACAGCTCGTCTTCGTTCCTCTCTCTCTCTTCTACCTCCATCTCGGTCGCCCGCAAGGTGAAGCCATTTTTTTATGTAGGCTTCTACCTCTTGGTCTGTTGCTGTCGCTGTGAGCCTGTTGTTTCTGACAGTCCCTAAAAATAGAGAACATTGTAAAGCCATTGGATGGATTGAACAACTTAGGACGCAATCTGGGGACCTAAGGATCAGCCAAGTGCATGGCGTGCTGTGTCCGACGAATTCAGTGGTCACTTTGAGAACATTCTGGCCATGGCAGAGGACGCCTTTTCCTTCAGCTGCCCAACAGCAACAAGCTTGACGCCTGCTAGTAAAATCGGACTGCAGCTGATCCAGAATTTCTCAATGAGGGAGAAAGAGTAGATGTGCTTCCAGCCTCCTTTCAGAATTTCTTTTTTAACTCTTTATGTGGCAAACCATGTTAACCATTTTACTTGACTTTTTTACCAAGAGTAATTAGAATTGGTTGAATCTAGGATCAGTAAATACTAACTGAGTGTCAAACATGCAAGAAAAGGGGACTGGACTCATTAGACTGATGACAGCGCAATGTAACACTTACCAGTAATGACATCTTTTAGTTGCAGTCTGTGGAATGCTGTTTTCCCATTGATGCCACGCCAGTTGAGCTGTTTGGCAAGGGAGTTGCTAAAACAGTGTTTCATCACTCGCCAAACGCAATCCTTAACGTCCAGTCCTCCAATGACACTCAATGCAGTAATCTGAAAAAGATCATTTAAAAGCTAAGGATACATGCATTATATAAACACAAGTCACAATAACCTAATTTAAAAAAAAATTAACATTAAAAAACATTATTTCCCTTTTCGCTTAGCTGGTATTTAGCCTCACTGCTGTCCAACATACAACTTAGGTGGCAAATAAAATATTAACAATAGTTTCAAATTGGGTTCCCCATCCTTTTAAGTTGGTAAGGGCAATAATTACCATTTTGTTTTGAAGATCTGCGTCTTCCCTCAGACGTTTCTCCAGAGCCAACAGGGAGGTTATTTCTTTTAGCGGCAGTATATCTCTGCCAAGGGGATCCGGCCCACCAGCAGGTTCGCCTGGAATGTTCTGCATGTTCATCTGAATGACTTTGAGTTGATCCATCATCATCTCTTGATTTGTAAGAAGTCTATGCAGAAGAGCTAAAAATAAGGACATTCAACATATATAAATGTACATATACATACATTTACGGACGAAACAATAACAAATTGTGAAATCACTTACGAGCAAGACCCCCTTGGCTTTCATCTTGTTCTGGGGTTCTCGCAGAATATCGGGGTTCTGGGCTTCTCAAAGACGCAGACTGTCGGGGTTCTGGGCTTCTCAAAGACCCAGACTGTCGGGGTTCTGGGCTTCTCAAAGACCCAGACTGTCGGGGTTCTGGGCTTCTCAAAGACGCAGACTGTCGGGGTTCTGGGCTTCTCAAAGACCCAGACTGTCGGGGTTCTGGGCTTCTCAAAGACCCAGACTGTCTGGGTTCTGGGCTTCTCAAAGACGCAGACTGTCGGGGTTCTGGGCTTCTCAAAGACCCAGACTGTCGGGGTTCTGGGCTTCTCAAAGACCCAGACTGTCGGGGTTCTGGGCTTCTCAAAGACCCAGACTGTGGGGGTTCTGGGCTTCTCGCAGACTGTGGGGGTTCTGGGCTTCTCGCAGACCGTCTGGGATCTGGGCTTGTCATCTGCTTGTGATGTTTTGTGCTCATAGCCAGTTTCTTTAATGCAGACTGTATATCAAAGCCTGGCCCTATTATGTTTGGGCCTGGTGGCAATGTCCTTTTTTGTTTGACAGTAACTTCATTATCACTGTCACTCTCAAATCGAGTGTTCGGTCTTGTGTGTGAGTGTGTTAGGGGGGGGGGGGGGGGGGGGGATTACAAAGGAAAAACAATGCAGCATAAATTATGTGGTAAAGAAATATCAGATAAAATGTATATCTACCATGACTCATTAGTATGTAGGGATAGTTTGGAGGAGAGGACAAACCCACTGCATTTTGTTTTCAGAGCACCATTTTTTAAAATAGTGTTTTTAACATATTTGTTTAAATACTTAAGTTATGAAAAGAAAACTCTTCTCTGTTAAGGTATATTAGTCTCAATTCTTGAGAGGTCTTATATTAGATTTGAGAACCTGAAAAAATGCACACATTTTGACTTTAGATTTTTCCATAACATTTACATCTATAACAATAGTAGTAGAATGGCACTTTAATACTTACAGCCTTTTACGCTTTCTTTTTGGGAGGTCATCCTTGTCTTCTTCCTCTGCTGTTTGAAGATCAGTGTGGGTTTCCGCTTGAGGGAGTTTTAGACGAGCGGTTTTGTAGTTTGCTGTAAAAACAAGAGAAATATCATTAGATTATGATTTTTCAAATCAGTGAATCCTCACGGTAAATATGTTATTTGCATACCAGCTGTATATAGAATCCGGACACTAAATGCATCCCACACGTCTTCAGGCTGCTCCTCATTTCGTATGGCTTTAATTAAGTCATCGTGCTTGTAGTGAGCTGGCCACTGACAGTTATCATCTGCAACCCACAGTGCTGGAACTACTTCAACCTCTTGGGTTTCCAGAAACTCAACAATGTGAAACATGGCCTAGAACAGAAAGAGGCACAAAGTTACTAGTTTTAAGAGTATAAACAAAGTAACCTTTTACGTTTTTCCAAACTGCAAACTTATTCACATAATTACAAGTCTTTAAATTAGAAGAAAGCATTTTTTATGATAATCCTTATGCTTTAAAAGGTGAATGATGGCTAAATTGATCATTAATACATGTTCATAATAATATGGGATACGCACCTACAGAGATAAGTGAAGGCAGGCTGGACACTGTCACCGCTGTTATGCACACAAATGATCAATCATTTTCCTCAAGATAAAAAGCTTGGTTAAATTCAGCAGTCCCAATGACTGTTACCACACCACATATGTTAATACCGCAATTTAGGATGGGTCTGCATGAAGAAGTGGCAGAACAACAAAACCAACCTCCAAAGGTAACCGGACACACTTCTGCACATTGGTATCTAACTTGAAACACATCAGATTTGGTGACAGATCTGACACAAAAAAAATTCCCAAATCTGTGGAGTCAATGGGATAGTCAAAAAACTTTGCAATGTGTCTATATTCTTTGCAGACAATGTATTCCTCACCCTCAAAGACAATTATATTCTGAACCAAGAGTATGTTATTGTTCCTCTTGATACATCTGTCCCTCTCTGATGAACTGATGACAAACTCATCTATTGCCAGTTCTTTAAACTGGGAGACATTTCCTGTAAAGCCATGTGGAACAGGTCCATCTGAGTGCAGCCTTTTCAATTTCTTGTGGGTTTTCAAAGTTTCCTCATCTTTTAAACTTGGTGAATCAAGTTCTGAAATTCTGCGTATAACTTGCTGCAGTGGAGAGCTAGGTTTTCTAACCATTCTTTTAATTGTTTTTAAGTAGTTTTCGAAAGGAAACCCTGATATTAAATCTAAGTGGCCATGCACCTTCACATCATCACTGAGATGAGTCAAACCATGTATGTTGTAAACTAAAAAACCCTGACCATAGAGTTCCCCAAAATGCTTAACAAATGATTGAAGTAGTGTGTTTGCAAAGTCATTTAACAGCAAGCAATATGTTGGACTTGCCAAAATGTATATACTCACAGACAACAGCATAACATTTTGATAAACCTCAGTAGTCAGCACATCCCTCAAAACTACTGGACCGGTATAAAGTAAGAACTGCCTAAGTTCTGTTGCCTTCCATCGCAACCTCTCATTAAGGGCCCTTGGCCGTCGAGCAAATTCTGAGGGTATGTAACTTCTGAGAGCAAGCAATTTTTCTGAAATTAAAGAGACTTGCCTGGATGAAATGCGGGAATGCAACTTGACGCTTGTGCCCATCCACAAATCAAGCAGACGACGCACCACACCTAAGCACACTAAATGCATATAGTCGTGTGGAAATCCACTGACCATAGGAACAGATGTTTCACAAAATGGGGAATGTTGTACGTGGTGGTCTTCATCCTCTGCATTTGAAAAAGATACATCAGTTCTTGCTCTAGCATCAACTTCTGGGAATGTCATGCGATGATTAATGTAATTGCCTGACTGTACACATTTATCACAGCCACTGTATCCATTGTGTGACTTAATACCCTTAACAAAGGCCCTCGCAGGAGCATCACAGATTACTGAGGACACAGTCAAGAAGAAGGTCTTACCATTAACAACAAATCCACTGCTCATGGTTTTTAACTCACAGACCAGATCCTTCAGATATTCTGACAATGACTGAGGCTTTGACTTCCCACAGAAAAGAGCAATCAGCACAGGTTTTCTACAATACCCCTGGAGCATTCCCAAAATTGGCCAGAACTGAACAGATGAACTTTTAAAAATTGGAAGACCATCAATGTTTAATTGTAATTTGAAACTGTGATGACTCGGGACAACTGATGTAAGCTTCTGAAATATTTGGCTGAACATATTCTGTATACCTAAATAATGGAATGATCCACCCGCCAAGGAAGCAATGCTATGGTACGTCTGTGTTTTGAGGAATGTTCTTGCATCTTTTGGCAAAGAGGGGTGATGGGGTTTCAGTATAGACAAGAGGGCAGACAAAGCGATTAATGAAACACCAAAATGTGTTGCCCAGTCTCTCAAACAACCCGCAAAATCATCTTTAGGAAAATCCCCTCTTTCATCCACATGGCTATCCTCGTCACTAGTTAATTCACTTTCCCCATTACTCTCTGACTGACAGTTTGGTGGAAAATCCGAGCCTGAAGCGACTGCTCCATGTTGAACACTATAGTTCTCTTCAGCATTATCCTCAACATAATTATCCTCGTCACCCAAAGATTCTAACAACTGGTTGACTCTTTTAACAGCCCTTTTCCTGGAATTGCTGCGAGTGATATTCCACTTTTCCCTCTCCATGAGACAGCAATTACAACAATTACTCTTTGAGAATTAGCCAACCTGTATAGGTTGTCAACAGCCAGTTACTCTGAAAAAGAAAGAAGAAACAACATTTAACATTGATACTTCATATAGTTTAGCGAAATGTATCACATGGAAGCAGCTTACCTTAATGGTGATAGTGCACTTGCCACTCTACCACTATTTTCTGCCCACCTTCAAATTTCTGTAACATAGTGTGAATATTACTGTTAAGTTCAAAAACATCATGATACAAACAAATTACAAGACAAAAACAAAATGTGTAACAGGGTTTTTGCTATAATTTAACAACTTCCTACAAAACATGTGATGCCTTACTCCCTCCCAAAATTGGTATGAATTGTATCTATTATTGTGATCAAGTTCAGTTCCGATTCGTTTTTACAACAAATCAATAAATGGTGCGCTTCTACAAACAAAAAACAACATGACTGATACATTTAAACAAACTGCTAACAGGAGATTAACTACAATATTAAAAAGTGTACATTATCTTTGGAAAATAACACAGGAATAATTAAAGTTTGAGGTGTGTGGGTTTTACATTCACAGAATTACACATATTTCTGGGGGATAAACAATTATTGTAGTGTTAAGGGACTCTCTTTACTTCAGTAGGCTACCTGTTGGATTTTCAGTTTGTAGCAAATATCACGGCATAACAACTGAGAATATTATCTTAACTGGAGTTATCTCCACTGAGAATGAGAATATAGCTTAGTGATACCGATTGCCAGCATAAAGTCATATTTATCATTTCATTTAAAACTTACCGCGACTTGACTTTTGCAGTTTTCCACCGACAATCCTTCCAACTGACTTCCTCTTGAGGGCGCCTTTTTTTTCGCGCTTATTTGCTTCAAGTCAGATATTGCTGGGGGATAAAAAAACGATTCCAGTGTGAAGGGACTCTCTTTACTTCAGTAGGCTACCTGTTGGATTTTCAGTTTGTAGCAAATATCACGGCATAACAACTGAGAATATTATCTTAACTGGAGTTAGCTGCAACTGAGAATATTAGCTTAACTGACATTAGCTCCAACTGAAAATATTAGCCTAAAGATCTGGAGTTAGCTGCAACTGAGAATATTAGCTTAACTGGAGTTAGCTCCACTGAGCATATAGATTAGTAAAATACCGATTGCCAGCAGAAAGTCATGTTTATCATTTCATTTAAAACTTACCGCGACTCCACTTTTGCACAGTTTTCCACCGACAATCCTTCCAACTGACTTCAGTCTCTATGGCGCTTTTTTTTCGCGCTAATTGCTTCAAGTCAGATATGCTGCGTTCAAAAGACCCCGGAAATGGAAAAACTCCAACTTGAAGTTATACTAATTCCCACGGATACATAACCACAAGACAGCAAGAAGATACAACTACAAATACAATAGGGCTTAAGACCCATAGTAGTATTGAAAATATTTGATTTGATTTGAACAAAAAAATAAAATAAATCTGTATTTCTAACAAAGAACTTGAAGGCTATTCATTGGCTTTTTCCAACTCAAAACTGGGACTTCCTAGTTCCCACGAATGCAGCATAGTTTAAATATGGGATGAAAAAGTTAATGTCAGAAAAACATATTAATAACTGTTTTCTTTAAGAAATGTATTGTTATTCATTATTAATAAAAATGATAATAGTTATTTAAATGACAATATTTAACCCAAATGTAAGACAAATTAAAACATTGTTTTATTTT